CCAAGAAAGTTTACCATTTTTAGACAGCAAACGATGACAGAGAAAGGTCAGTGAGAAGCTTTTTCCACTTTCCTGGCTTTCAGGAAAGAGGAAAGTGGCCATAAGCCAAGAATTATAGGCACCTTTTATGACACTGATGACAAACCTTTTAGAAATGAATGCTCACAATGCAACCCAAAGCCCACTATGTATCACAAAATATCCATACTGCGATTAAAATTGTTTTATTATGTTTCAGTTTAGAAAAAACTCATACACTAACATCTTTTGTCTTAAAAAAGAAGAAAGAAGAAAGAAGAAAGAAAGAAAGAAAGAAAGAAGAAGAAGAAGAAGAAGAAGAAGAAGAAGAAGAAGAAGAAGAAGTAAAACACGTGTCATAGGTTTGCCACCACTGCTCCAGAAGCTCCGAAGGCCACAAAACAGACTCTTCAAGAAACTCTGAGAAAGAAAGTAGCCTTTCGACACCTTGATTTTAGGTCAAGAAAGTCATGTCCAACATCTGACCTCTGGAATTGTAAGATAATATGTTCTGTTATAAGCCACTATATTTGTGGTATTTTGTGATGGCAGCATGGATAACCAATACAGTAATAAGGAAATAAACACATGTTAATGTTTGCAGCATAAAAAATAGGAAAGAAAAATTCTATGCTGCTGGAACAAAAGAATAATATAAAAAATAAGTTAAATGTATACATTATATTTAACAAACATTCATTTACTCAAATACTTACTAAGCCACAAAATGAAAAGCACAGAAGGCAAATGTATAATAGTGACAAACTGTGACTTGAGGAAGCCTCTCAGTAAGTGTCCATCATGTAAACTTCAAATAGACTGATGAGCTCAATAAATCATTTTCATACTTGAAAAAAAGATCAGAGGGCCAGAGAGAGAATCAGCTAGGCCACTTATCAGACATGTCCCCCTGATCCCAGGAAATAAAAAAGTTTTGAAACCATAGAAAAAAGTATCTATCACTCCTCAAAAACTTGTTTTCACTGTATCAAAATTTTTAAAAGGGAAAAATGATGACAAATGTGACCCAGCAATCTCTCTTCTGAGCACATGCACGAAGGAGACAAATCAGCCTAAGGTAAAGACACCCGCATGCTGATGCTCCTTACAATGCTGTTTACAGCAGGCACCAGAAAGAAACAGCCGGTCTCTCCAAAGCCATAGAAAAATTAGTGCAAAGATATACACAAGGGAACGCGAGTTGTCCTTTAAATATAAGGGACCCTGTCACTTGTAATGACATAAAGGAACCTGGGGCTATAATACTAAGTAAAATAAGCCAGAGAGAAAGAAAAACTTTGCAGTGTCTCACATAAGTGTGAATCTCTTTTTTCAAAAAAATCCTCAATTATACAGACATAAAGAATAAAACTGTGATTGGCAAGGGAAAGAAGAATGGGGAAATGTAGGTCCAAGGACAGAAAGCAGCAGATGAGGAGAAGCCTAGAGTTGTATGTGTACCAAAAAGGAGGAGTTACAGGCACGTGGGCCATTCCTTAAAGGTGCTCTTGCCTCTCTCCACCTGTCGAGTCACTGCTCAGCCTTGACACGTAAGTCAAGCGTGCATTAGCCTCTGTATGCCCACATAGTTTATTCCTTGCATATTATCAAGGCAATTTATGCCTCATCAGAGTTCATGGTCTTTAGGGAAAAGAAGCTTATTGAGGTCAATATCTCTTGCACAGTTGTACTAGATGTTACTCTACTAGTAAGTGAAATAATAAAATAACAATAACCACCACCAATAGTGAGCACTATGCATGGGTACCATTCTGGAGACATAATATGTAGTATTAACAAGGGGGGGGGCGGGTACTGGGAACTGAACTATATCACCAGCCCTTTTCAGTTTTTGAGATAAGGCATTTCTAAATTATTCAGTCTGGGCTCAAACTTGCAATCCTCTTGTCTCCGCCTAAGTAACATTAAGTATGTAAGATTACATACCACCACATCCACTTGTATTGACAAATCTAAGCCTAACAAAATTCAAAGTAAGGATTTATTATCACCAATTAAAAGATGATGAAACTGAGGTGCAAAATAGATAAGTAACTTGCACAGGGTTACATTGCTATAAAAGGTACAGCCTATGCAATCTAAATTGTGGATCCATGTTCTTAATTACTATGATATGCCATATTTTAATAATTCAGTAGGTTTTTTAAAATGTAGCTATATAAAAAACATTCATAGAAGAAACAAAAAAGTGAAAGCAGAGGTCTAGGAAAAGAAAAACAGAAATGAACTTTTAAAATTCTATGCCATTCTGTTACAATGCTGCCTTTCTAATAACTACAAGGTCCAAAACTGCAATATGGCAAGAGAAAATATCAGAGTACATGAAGCAGAATGAACACACTGACAGAATCTGTCACGCTCTGCCCCCAGTACCCACGCCACTGTTACTGTGACACTGCACCACTTTGTAAATTTATACTGTAAGAGAGAAATGTTCTCAAATTTAGCCTCTTTTGAATCCTGCATTGCTAATATAAATAATTCTCCAAGTTAAAGTGTTCATATTTGAACAGGACATTCTGCTATCTGGCTTTTCAGGATTCAAGCAATCAGACACTGCAAACTAACAAGGTTAACCGTCCTAACGAGCAGGCACTAATAGGTTTTTCCTCGTGTACAGCTCCCTTTGGACTAGACAGCACCTCTCTCTGTTTTACTCACAAACCCACAAGTCAAACCTCTCACTTTTTGCTTTTTGCACACGAGCAAATGCTCCTTCAATCAGCTGTCAAAACACCAATCTGCCCGCCCGCTGTCAAATTCTCTCTCCCTCCCTTCCTCTCATTCCCTCCCCTCTCCTCTCCCTCTCTACTGTTTCCCCCTTCGTCTCCCCCTCCCTCCCTCCACAGAAGACCAAACAACAGGAGACCTAAACTATATTTCTCTTCAGTTAGAATCTAGAACTTCTTTAGTGTGCAAGAGAATCTGACTGGGTTCCTAAATCACAGTGAAACTGACTAGCCAGGAATTTCTCTGTAAGGCCCTTTTTAACTAAAAGGGTGCTAAATTGAATAGGAGAAAGTGTTTATCAGTGCCTCAGCTCTGAACTCTGAAACTGTCTTCTACAGAAACAGCACCCAGCACCCACCCTTATACTGCATGTTTTTCCCAGGTCTGCACATCAAATCCAGGCCCCCAAGCATGCTAAGCAAACAGTCTACTACTGAACTCCATCCCCAAGACCCCCTTATACCATATCCTGAGACTCTTCCCTGTGTCTTAACACATACTAAACTCCCTCATGCATACAATGCAGCTTAGAAATGCTACCATGGTATACACAAAAAACACAGGCTTTTTCCAAACTACGGAGAATTTGCTATTCCAGTAATGTAATTCCTTGGGATGAAATCTAAAATGAACTCCAAGTATGTACCGCATTCCATGTCTAAGAGTCCTAAGTAGTTTCTTATTTCCCTAACACAGCAGGATTATGTTTATGGAGAGTTAGCATGACACAAAAAGATAACTCAGGAGTTCCATATTCATTTCATTTCTTAAACCAAAAGAAATCGCAATGTAAACAGACAAATGGCAAAAACAAACTAAAGTCACCAGACATTCAGGTTCTGTTTGTTTAAAGTGAGAATGTTTGTTCAAAGATTATTAAATTTGCTAGTGGGGTGATGACTTCGCAGCAGAACACAACTTTTGGGCTGGGAAGTAGCTCAGCAGCACAGCGCCTGTCTGGAGGTGCAGGGCTCTGAGTTCGATTCCTGGCTAACACCCACCCCGAAAAAGCAAAGAACTGCACTGCAGTGAGAACACACTGAAGAACCTGACTGAAATGGGTCACAGGAGAAGAAATTCATCACAGAACTGCATCCAGATGCCAATTATTCATAAAATTTTTAATACAAACATATAACATTTTATGTAATTTTAAGAAATTAATAAAGCCTTGTTTTAAAAGAGATGACAGCTAGGTACAAAGGTGGGAATGAACAAGCACCACCATTCACTAAATAAACAGAGTGTCAACTACACGAGGGCATTTGTAAATAGTGATGGCTAAAAAGAGTTACAGAGACAACAGACAGTAACCTCCAGGTTCACAGAGATGCCAGCAACAAAAATGTGATGGAGTGTTCTTCAAGGCAGTCAGTCAACAAACAGCATCAGGCTGGAGAAACTGTTTTCTTTTTTAAGGACTGCAAGAAATGTCTTCATGAGAATAGTAACTTCAATAAAGATATGGACTATATTCAAAGAAATATGTAACTCTAACTCTAAACCTAAAGTTCATAAATGTGTATAAGTATATAAATGCATACTAAGCAAATGAAAACTGGCGTGTGGTGGTGCACACCTGTAACCCCAGCAATGCTGGCTGAAGCACAAGGACTGTAAATTCAAGCCAACACAGGCAACTTGGTGACTTACTGTAATGCTGTCTCAAGGGGAGAAAGGGGACCAGGGGTGCTGCTCAGTGCCAAGGCCTTGGGTTCACTCTCTAGCACCGGAGAGAGAAAGAGAGTATGCAAATGTCACACAATTGCACAGAGGGAAAAGGGACCTGAGACACAGGAACACACAGGACACACAGAGCAGGCAGAAAGCTTCAGACGTGTTGGGTTGAAGCTGAAACTTGAAGGGGGGAAAACAATGGAGCTGAAGCAGCCAAAGAAAGCACGTGGTGGGGAGTAAGCAGGAGTCCAGTGAGGGGTGGGAAAGCTCTATGACGTAGACAGAGGCGACAAGGGAAAAAGAGACAAAGTCCAGGTCATGAAGGGACATAAGCTGCACACTGTGCCTTCCCAATGCACTATTCTTCTGGAGTGAGAAAACCTAGAATACCTTCCGGTGGCAAAGTGAAATAGCTGCATGGACATGACAAAGTGTCACGGGGCAAGAAAGGGTGTTTAGGACAGCCAGAAATAACTGAGAAATAGCAAACAACACTATCAAAAGCTAACAATGTGAGGCTTTCTTTTATCCTGTCAAGTACTGCACACACTTACCCCAATGATACTCAGTCCCTTGAGGTAGTCCTGACGAGGCTGGGCTTGAGGGACACACCCAGCCAGCACCACTTTCTTGTTTTCCTCCTGAGCTTTTCTGGAAAATTGAAGGGAGGAAAAGTGTGAATTATTCGCTCTCAAGTATACCGTGAAAATTATTGTTACATATATGAGTTCTCCAAATAATAAGACAAGCTAACATGAACTAGTGTTTTAGTCAGCATTTGCAAGGAAAAAAATTATATGCAGGACACATTATTCATAAAATTATTTTATAATAGTCACTCAAAGAGCCAAACACAAAAAGTGCAGTAAGTCTGTCCACACACTCAAAGACCCGAAAGAATAGAAACAAGGTCTTGGATCCCACAACAATGTCTCATTTAAGTCCATTTCACGGATTTACACAGGGAAGGTCCAAAGGTCAGTGGTGGAAGCTAGAAAGTCTGTGCCAGCAGAATGAAGGATCCGTGCCAGCAGACTGAAGATTCTACACTGGAGCTAGAAGTGATGCTCAAAGAACCAGAACCCCCCCAAAAGGTATGACAGCTATCTTCAGCAACAACGAGGTCCCAAGGTCCTCTGATGATAACAGCCAAGTTTACAGCAGGAAAGACGCTTGACAAGCTCCTAGAGGAGAACCAACACTACCGCTTCTTTGTTGGCAACAATCCTCAGGTGGGCCATCCACACTTAGCACTACGCTGATTCAATACATCTGGGCATTAAGTTGACCACCAGTTGTCAATCCACCACAACCAGTTTTTTCTTACAACTGCTTAGGAAAACATAAGCTTTCTGCACTATATGTCCATTTACCATAGCACTAATGAACACAATAGTAGTTCAACCTGACAATGTCTCTCACCATCACCTCATTCCAAAACAATCGTATAGAATTCACATGGATACGAATTATTCTTGAAAAACTCTATTTTCCAGACAAGCAAACCTTTCAAGTGAGTTCCTGATTTTAAATATTAATGAAAATATACTTAAAACTATATACCCTTTCTTAGCCTCCTGAACAATATAAAAGTAAAATACATTTCAAAAAAAATCAAACAGAAGAGCAGAATAAATAATAGTCCATATCCTAGAAGTGGCTACATTTTCCCACCCATATACACACTTATTCTTGCTCCTTAGAATTAAGTTCTTGCTTACTTATGCTTCCTGCCAGACTTCAAGCATCCCTCAACCACACAATATATACTCATAAGCAGACTGGTGTGATACATATAAATACGTATGTGTATGCAAGCACATACTCATATCCCATTTATATGCACATCTGAGTATTTGAGAAAGCATTCTGGAATATACAAACCTAGATACAAAATCTATGTTCAGATGTGTAATTATTTTCCTAGCATAAGTTCTAAGTAGAAAACCTGATTCAAAGATACACATATCTGGGTCTCTTTTAAGAATTTCTCTGCTGAAGAGGAAGATGGTGTTTATTTTAAGTGAACATTATTCACTCAACCAGGCAGATGTATATACAGCAAATAATGATTTCTGTGCTAGAGGACGGAACAAAGCAGTGCTTTTATTTTTTCCTAGAAACTACTCAGATCCTCTGGGCATTTTAAAATTAAATGTTCAAGTTCTCCATTCTTTTCACATATGTAAGGTTTAGTGTGTTCTGATGGTTTGCTTACATTCATTCATTTATATATTTCGGTTCCTCATTAGGACATCTTATGCGCCAAACGGGGTGCCTGGAGGTCCTGCAATCTCTAGATTTCTGCAGCCAACTGGGAAAGCTGAGATGTCTGCAGCCCACTTTCTGGAGAGTGACTGCACTACTATGAAGTGAAAAGTCTCTGTCCTCAGCTGACTGTCTTGTAGTTAGTTTAGAACTAACAAAACATTGCAGTTAAAGGAACCAGCTCTGTGTGCTAAGAAGCCTCATCAATATCTTCTGGGAAGAAAAAAGAGCACAGCACCATTAAATATCCCATTTTAGAAACTTGTAGTACTTTGTTATAATTTTTCCATTTAAGATCCTGAACTTGCTAATGAGTGGAAATAATGTGACTTTGGTTTTACATTTTTATCACTAATACTTATAGTAAATGTGAAATGGTTTATCAAATGAAAAAACTTTCCATTTCTTTAACAGTCTCCACAAGGAAGTTAACATCTGTTTCTTTTTAAAGAACTATAGATGCAACACCTAGCATCACTGCCAGACATCCAAGAGACTCTGTAATCACTAATAATTAAATCAAATAAAAAGCCTGGTTCCTATAAAATGAAGTAATTCAATTACTTAATTATTAAGCACATTTAAGACATTCTACTAAGTGCTTAAGGGAACAAAGTAATGAAGAAGACCAGCACCTTACACCCCACAGCTCAGGGTTTACAGCCGGCGAGATGTGACGGACGAGAGACAGCACAGCATCAAGTAAAATGCTTTCGATGACAGAAAGAAGATGCACAGATAACATGAGATGAGGAGGGAAAGAATGCAGGCAAAACAGACAGGAAATGGCTTCATGAAAAACTTGGGAGGCTTTTTATCAGCAGACAGGATGAGGAGAAGACATAAATATAGACAAAAAGCTCCAGGCAGTTGCTACAGTTGGACAAAGACAAGAAGGTAGAAACCAAAGGTGAGAGGGGGTTCCACCGGACACTCTAAACACTAGACTGGGTCATGAAATAGTCTCGGCCTGATTTTAAGTAAGAAGAACACCGGAAAATTAAGAGGAAAGGTCCCAAATAGGGACATGTGATTTAATAATTTGTTGAACAGCATTTCATGCTTTTATTGAATTTGGCTTCAAAATGGTAGAACCATAATCTAAACCAAAAATCATAAATCAGTTATGGAATTTCGATGCCATGCTTTTCATGTAACCAAAGCTACAAAATTTTAATGCAAATTATCACAACACTCCTGTGCTAAGCATTCCCTTCATGCATCCTGTATTTTTTTAAAGTGAGCTTTGTTCAGGTTAATAAAAGCCTGAATTTTTTTTCTTTAGAAATGTATCCAGCGCAGCCATATTTTTAAAAGCTTTTATCCTTCAAACTGTGAATGCTAATGAGACTAATACCTTAAGAAAGTTTATAATAGTATGAATTACCATGTTTTCTCCTCAGATGGTCCTGAAATGCTACTTAGAATTAAAATGGGAATGTAAAGTTAATAAATTCGCATTTTTTTTCAAAATGCATTTCTAAGTTAAAACAGCAACATACTATTGTCCAAAGCATTAACTTCAATAAATAGAAAACATAAAGAATTCTTCCCATCTTTGCTTCAAAGCATAAAATGCTAGAAATAATTGGTAATAAATGCAAGAAAGAATCTTCATCATAAAGTAATAATGACACATTATTGCCTTACTTTATAGGCAAGAACACTGAAATTTGAAGTCATGCAAAGCTATGTGTGGTAGTTCACACCTGAAATTCAGCTGCTTAAGAGCCTGAGGCAGGAGGATGACTAGTTCAAAGCAAAGCCATCTTGGGAAACTGAGCAAGATCTGTCTAAAAATAAAAAGAGCTAAGTATATACTCCGTGATAGAACATTTGCCTAGCATATACAACAACCTGGGTTCAATCCCAAGAACTGCCAAGAAAAAGAAAAAAAAATGCAAAGATCAAGGCTGAATTAGTGATAGACCTACAGTAAGTACCCAAGATGCCCTCGGTCTGTGGACAACACATTTCAGAACACAAATCACAGCTGAATTTTAACTGTATAATAAAACACTGGTGCAGACATTTCTCCATTAGAACAGCACAGAAATTTACAAAGCAATAGTATGCTGAATATCTTCCAGAAAGAAGCATAATTTAGTATCTGACAACTTTTGCTTGAAATGAGTCTTAATATAATTGTCTAATGGAGAATAATAAACTCATAATAAAAAATAGCTTTCTAAAAGTAGCATGTAAGAAGGGACTCATGATTCTTTCAAATTACTCTTATTCCTCATACTTTCTTATACATTTATATTTATATAAAAGTATCCATAATAATGTCTACTTTTTTAACCAAAATTTTATCTCAAGAGTTTAAGTTTGTATTTTATTTTTAAATTTATAAATACATAATCATATATTCATTTTAAAAAAAACTATTCTTACAGTAGCACCAAAAAGAGGATCAAATCAGTCTGGTTTTATCTACAATAAGCAATTTGATGTTCCCAGTGTGAGCATACAACTCCATGTCAAATGTTCAAGTGAGAATATACCTACTTTAAGTGCTAATATTGTACTAGTCACTTTACTGTCACTGGGACAAAATACCAGACATATGCAATTTAAAGGAAGAAAGGTTTACTTTGGTTCAGTTTCAGTGAATTCAATTCATGGCTGGCTACGAGACAGTCATGGTATGGGGGAAGGGCCTGGCAGAGAAAAGCTGGTTACACCAGGCGGCCAGGAAAGAAAAATGACAGGGGAATTTTTAAATATTTAAATGCAAATTCATACCCTCAGAAAAATTCTTCCTTTTTACAGCACCAGAAAAAAGGTCAAGGCGATGTGTGGCTACCTCCAGCAAGCAGTGTAACACTCTTCACGTGAGTATTCTCTGCATCGAATGTTAAAGAGGGTGCTTATTTTAAGTACTGATGTACAGCCAGAAGCCTTATGACCCAAAAATGCTTAAAGCAAATAATATAAAACAACTAAGGAGCTATTATTTTGACATAATCCATGAACCACAGTATCTTCCCTAGATTCTTGAACCAAAAAGAAGGAATGAGTTGGCAGCACTCATATAACTGTGTACCTACAGCATTTTGTGGGCCAAACGTGGAGAGCGAGGCTCTGAGCTGCCTAGTTAGAAATAAGGGTAAGATCTGAAGGGCTTATCAATCTGGAAAAAATAATCTATAGCAACACATTCATATGCGTAACTTGGAATATATAGCAACTTTCAAATCTGAAGAAACTGGGCTGCAATCTCAGGATCAGAAGACTGGACAGTACTTTATCAGATAAAACTTATATATAGCTGTTCATTTCACACTTTTAAGAAGAAAAATAAGTCATACCACACTGAGCAGTCTACAGTGTACCTAGTCAAGAGGAGTGCAAGAGGTAAAAATTTCTCAAATGTCTGT